ATTTGGATAAAGGGTGAAAAGGCACAGTTAGATAGGAGTGAGTTCTAGTGTTCATTAGCACACTAGGTGACCACAGTTATTAGTAGTACACTGCATATTTCAAAATAGCTAGATGAGGTTTGAAATGTTCTCAACACAAAGAAATGATAAATGTTTGAAGTGGATGGCTATCCTATACACCCTGATTTGATCATTACACATTGTCTACCTGTATCAAAATATCACATGAACCCCATAAAAATGGTATGTATTGATAAAAAAAAAAGTAAATATGTGTTTTAACTTTCAATGCATTAGTTATTTTGCAAACTCAAGTTGTAGAACTCTCTACTATAGAATACACCCACACACTTGTACACAATTAGGGTGTTCTAAGATTCTGCTTCAGATTTCTTCATGTTATTCAATCGACTTAGACCATTCCTTCCTTCCTCAGTTTTACCTTATATAGTTCTCAAAATTCACCCATTTTTCAAGCATAGAACCTTACCTAGTGCAGTTATACAGAAAAAGTTGGTAGAGTGAAGGACCTACTGTTCATTTCTTTTGGTGTACTCTCCTTAACTTGTAATTACAGATGCATGTATTGGTTGACCTGCGTGTTTGCGTCTCTGACTATACTGTGATTCACAAAGGCATTGAGGGACTATGATAGATTTACTCATCATCAAATAAATCTTTGCAGGTAGGTCCATGACTAGCACAATGTAGGTGCTTTATAACTGTTCATCCACGAATAAAACTTATTTAAAGCCTTCACTGATACTTCATAATTAATATTTTTCTTTTATGTTCTTAAAGATCTATGCTTTGTGCAGACTAGGTACTCAATCACTTTCAAATTAGAAAAAAGACTCAGGAAGCAACGTGGGCTTTCTTGTTTGTTTTTTTTGGTTTGTAGGTAGATCTGACCCAGTGGTAAAGGCACAAGTGGAGTTTTGATTGTTTGAGTGTCGTATAGTTGAGATGGAAAGTTATTTGGAAGGATGCCTGATGCTAACATCCAACCTTTAGTTGTTCACTAACCAAAGCCATGTCTGTCTATGCTATTTCGCAGTAATATGCAAATTGCTTCTGACTGTGCCCAGTAGAACAATACTCAACCTGAGCTCATTTGCAGCAGTTTAAAAACAAACCCCAGAGCCCAATATCACGACTGTTTTCTTCCTTTTTGATCTTGCCTCATTAGGGGACAGGGTAAGGGTGGCATAATGCTCTGAAATCTGTCAATACTTTGTGTTTCTCATTCATTAAAACCTTTAGATCTGTTTTCCTTGTGGCTCCATTTACCAGGAAGGGAGAAAAGAAAAGCACTAAACAGGTGTTCTCGACTTGAAAAACAGCAATTTCAAGCAACTCACAAGGGGAGAAATTGGAGATTTTCAGGTTCTGAAGTTGTCACTGGGAGATAAATTTGGGTTACACATTCCCCTCTCATAAACATTTTATTTAACATAAATTTGAGCAGTGCATGAGGCACCTGATTTCTCTGGGGGCAGGCGTGCTTCATGGACCAACTGTGCTGTGTAGAGACAGTAAATGTTACTCAACCTTCTTCCAAATGCACAAATACGAGCGGGAGGAGTAGTATGCTGAGTTGCTGACATGGAATACCAGCTTCCCTAAGAAGGAGAGAGATCTATTTAACTTGATGGATGGGAAAGTGTCTGAATTTTGAGAAATCTAAACTCAACTTTAAGTGTCTATAACACCACAAGACTGTTAGATAAACAGAAGAGCACATGAAGTGTCTTATACAAAAGGATTACATAGTTCTGTGCACTTTGCTAAAGAAGCATCTTTCTGAGGTAAAGAGAAAGTTCAAAGAGCTATTCTCTTTAGCAATGATTCTCAAAATGTGATCCCAGGGCAGCGGCACTTGCATCACCTAGGAGCTTGTTAGAAATGTATATTCTTGAAGCAAACCTCAGAAATACTGAATCAGGGGTGCTGCTTCATGGCTTGTGCCTCTAATCTCAGGACTCTGGGAGGCCCAGGTAGGTGGATAGTTTGAGTTCAGGGTTTGGGGATCAGCCTGAGCAAGAGCGAGACCCCATTTCTACTAAATAAATAGCTGTATTCCCACCTACTTGGGAGGCTGAGGCAGGAGGATCACTTGAACCCCAAATTGGAGGTTGCTGTGAGCAAGGCTGACATTGTGGCACTCTACCCAGGGTGACAGAGTGAGATGCTGTCTCAAAAAAATAAAAGTACTGAATCAGAAACTCTGGGGGTGGGGTCAAACAGTCTATGGTTTTGCAAGTGTATCATATGATTCTGATCTATGTTAAAGTTGGAGAATGCTTTTCTACAGGAATTCATTCCTGTAGCAAATATTGTCTAATAAATTCTAGGTACTCTATCAGGCACTGTTACAGTATTAATAAGTCACCAAACTCTTGCTCTCTTGCAACTTACATACTAGTGGAAAAGAAAAAAGAAATGAGAAATTCCAGTTGGAATACTATTTTGGACCCTGGAAGATGCTTTTTTCAGTGACCATGGCATTTAGGGTAGGCCCCTGGAAAAAGTTGCCTTTGTGACCTACATGATACTTTTTGAAATGTTAATTGTTTTCCCTTTTATGGCCGACTCTCCTGGGACTATAAGACACTCGAGACCCATGGCTTATACAAATGGATCTGCATATAGTTTTTGTTCCCTCAAATAATTACTTTTATTTCTGTGCTTGGCATTCTAGGTGGGCAGTGGAAATGCACTAATGCATTGGTTGACATATCTTTGGTGTCCAGTGAATTGTGAAGCTTTTATCTTTTGGTTACTAGCTGCGTGTGCATGCAGACACACACGCACACACGTGTACCCCTGCACACATACACATACTTACAAGTTTTTTTTTTCTTAAGCCTGGTTGGGTACAGTGACATCTACACAATGAATAAAAAGGAAAAATAAAAAAAAATTACCACAATGTATAATGCAAATTTTTGAATGCATTTGATCATCTTTATCCCTGCCTGTTGCTAAAGGGCCACACGACACTTCTTTGGGAATCAGAAAAAGCTAGTCTTGTACCATGGGAATTTGGAAAAGTGGAATTATTCTTAGTTCTTCTGGTGTGTTTATCATCCTTCTTACCCCTTCAAAATGTTTGTCCTTCTCTTATTCCGATCTGTTTTACAAGTTGCTGGTGTCCAGTTTGGATGCATTTCTGGAGCATGGAAATGAAAGTCCATAGTGACATTTGTGGTGAACAGAAAGGGGAACTGAAGGTACCTTTTCCAAGAATAATTTTTGTTTGGTTTCTTGGAAAAAAAACAATATAAAACTTGATATTCAAGTGCAGTGGTATGGTGGGATAGTTAGTGGATAATTGTGTCAGAGGAAATATCCACCCCCACACACTGTGCACCTCTAACAGCAGGAGTCTGTTCTGTGGTGATTTCTCAGTCAGCGTTTGACATAGCCAGTGGGAGAGGTTTTTGACACCTGTCAGAAAGATGGAAGGAAATACCATCTCTGGAAGAGCACAGGGAGGAAGCAGACGGAAATGTAGGTATTGCAAAACAATCCTCACGGAGGGAACACACCGACTGGAGCACCTCCTGTTCCTCACATCAGACCTCAGTCTGCCCATTGGCAAAACCCATCTGTGAAATCTGTTTATTGGAAATGCTTGACACATTGATGCATCAAGAAAAATAACTAAAAAAAGAAGACGTTCCCCAGTTATGCCATATTTCTGGGGATTTGATTCTTATGGTTCTGTGCAAGTTGGATTCTGTTTTTGATTTATGTGTTTCAGGGTAAAATGGTGTGTTGTGTGTACATGCTGCTTACTCAGGAGAAAGCACAAAAATGTAGAATTCATTATTCCATGATAGCATAAGTACATTTCAGGAAAAACAGAAGTTCACATAATTCTGAAAGGCCATGAAGCAATACTGTGTCTTAGAACTGCTGAGATCGGGGAAGTAGGCTCAATCTGCATTGCCAGTGTGATGGCCTATGGTTACATGTGGGTTTGGAGCACTTGGGATGTAGCTGGCAAGAGTGAGGAACTGAATTTTTCATTTTGTTAATTTAAATTTAATTTAGATAGACAATATAGCTGGTGGATGTGATTTTGGCAGAGCAGATTTAGAGAGATGTTGAAAAATACTTTTTAACAAGGTCAACATTTGGTTATGCAATCTGCCAATTAGGTTATTTTAGTATTAGAGTCTGATTATTAGCATATTTTCATGGTTTCCGTGCCTTCATTGCATTCTCAAAGGTAATCAGTGTCTTCCATGTGGGCAGACTTGCGGGTGCCTGCGTCTTCCTTCTCCTTGACTTTCTTTTTTTTTTTT